GAACGATCGAGGCAACAGAGAAGAAGACGCGATACGAGGAGGACGCGGAGCTTAATTAACTTCTCCCCTTCGTCAGCCGCTCTCGGCTCTTGATCTCGCCTTGACGTTAAAGCTCGTTAAAGCCGTTCTCGCCGGATACTCGAAAGATCCGTGATAATTTCTATGGACGATCGAAGGGAGGAAACAGGGTGACACGATCGTTGGAAGATTCACGGCAAAAGCGATTGCTCGCGACGCGTTCGTTTGTAGCCCCTGCGCGATCGAACAAACGAGACGAGAGTAGACGAAAAGATATATATCGGAGAAACACAGAGAGAGAGAGAGAGAGAGAGAGAGAGAGAGAGAGGGAAAGAAATGTCTGCGAGAGAGGCTGGATCGTCTCGTCGACGGCCAATGTCGTCGTCGTCGTCGTCGTCGTCGTCGGTCCCAAAACACCTGATCCTGCGGTCTCCAACCAAGTATATACACACAAAGTAGCAAGTAGTACACGAAGAGAAAAAAGGACTTTTTTTCGGAAGAAGAAGTGCGGTGGTGGTGGTGGTGGTGGTGGTGGTAAACGAGAGCACAAACAATAAGAGTCAATGTGTATTTACATGTTGCGGGAGCAAAGATTCACCTCGAGATCCATGGTGGTGTGTCGCGTGGGCGGCGTACCGTATTGGCCGTGTGGCGGCGGCAGATGATGGGGATGAAGGGGGTGCAGCTGCTGGGCCGCGTTGAACTGCTGATGATGAAGGGACGGCTGGTGATCGCCGCCGAGGGTGTGCCTCCTCGGCTCGTCCCTCGATCGGCCGCCACTCCCCGAGCCGCTCCTGCTGCCTCCGCCGACGCTTCCGCCACCACCGCCAACCCCCAACACGCTTCCTCCTCCTCCGCCGCCCCCGATTCCGCTACCCACGCCGCCGCCACTGCCGCCTCGTCGACCAGTCGGAATCTCGTTCGAGCCTGCCTCACCCTCCCCCCTGCCGGACCCACCTGAAACACAAGTCGCAACCTAAGTCACCCTAAGTCTCTCCTCGTTTCTCCTCCCCAACACACAAACTCTTCTCTTCGCAACTGTCTCGGCCTCTCGGCCACCTCGGCAAATTCGCTATCACCCTATAGTGTACAGCAGTTTATATTTTTCCAAGCAAGCGATCTTTACCTCCTCGAGAAAGCCACTTTTCTTAAGACGGACAATGGTTTCCTACTTGAGGAACTTTGTTTTTTCAATTAGCTTTTCCAATTGAATACAATGTCGCTAACGCGATAACAATTTTCACGATAAATTCTCAACGATAGTGTGTGATGCGTTTCTAGTCGCCGATGCGTGGCCAAGTCGAAAGCAACGTCAAAATTTCGAACGAAACCGATTCGCCGATCGTCCGAGGCGAACATTCGTGCAAATTCGCTCTCTCAAAGGCGGAGGACGCAGCCGAAAAGTCGTCGTTTTCCGCGTTAGCCTGCTACGTCGTGTCGACCTATTTGGCGGAAAGTCGTGGATAAACTCGTGGCCGAGAATAACGCGTTCGCGGAAGTGGCCGGAAATAGTTACACGTGCGAACGGCGGGCGCCAGGAGACACGTGCCACTTTATTCGCGTTTGTCGTCGCTCCCTCGAGAGTGCAACGCCGCCGCGACGAGCAAGGGACCGAGCGAAACATACACTCTGTGTGTATGTATGTGTGTGTGTGTGTGTGTTTGATAGAGAAGAAACATTTCTTTCTCTGGGAAAAAAAATGTCCCTTTCTTTAAGAAAATCTTAAACGTACGAGAGCAACCAAACCATGTTTGCGTGGAGAGATGACGAAAAAGCGAAACAAACTTGCAACGCGCGAGTATCGCGTCTTTGGCCCGACGAAGCCCTCCACGATCGGCAGAAACTATTTCCAAAGTAACGATCAACGCGCGATCTATGCGATCGCAATTCGGCTGGCACGCGACTCTGTCG